ACATCCTGGGGTGAGAAAGCTTGGGGCTACCTCAAGCAGACGGAAGGATCCTTTCACAGAACGGACCTCGACATGATAGCACGGCGCCCTAGACGCCACAAGCGCATGCAAGAAGTTGGGGCTGGCCACGGCGCCCCAGGATGCGGTCGGTGCGGCTCGAGGGGCATGTCGCGGAGGAATGTGGGGGCTACTGCGCAGGCATCTGTGCCGCGAGCCCCCTCGCGCTGAAGTAAGGACAGCCATCCAGAAGGGTAACATGGGCACATATGCCCAATGGGCATGCATAAGGCCCTGGGGGGGGGGGGGGGGCCTAGAGCGGCAGCGGCCAACTCGGGAATCGCCCTGCCAAGACCCGCCCAGAATGTTGACGTGGCCGAGGTGACCTGGGACATCCTTGAAGCTGCCCATGAGGCCTACAAACCACTGGCGCTGGAGTCTTGGGTCGAAGATCTGTGCCAAAGACGCGTCGGCAGAGAAGAGGATGCAGTAGACCAGGCTGTCCAGATCAGTTCAGGTTTGGCGGGCGTGCTCAAGAGCGGAGGCTTTCGCATATCTGGTCAGAACCAAATCCGTTCGAATCCTAGGACCTTGGTAGGCGCGGTGCGTAATGGCGACTCTTGCCACCAAGGGCCACATCCTTAAACGGGGCTCAACAAGCACAGGCTTGATCCTGGGCGCTGTAGGTCGGGCACGTTCGGTGGCGGTCCTCGAGCAGAGGATTGCCGGCGCAAAGCATCGCGCGTCTAATATCAGACGAGTTATCAAGACAGACCGTAGAGCCAAGGGTCTGGTTGGACCCAGGTGGAATCCCCAGTCCCTGTGGGCTGTGTAGCCCAGTGGGCGAGCCCGACCATGGCCCTGCAAGCTAAGGCGTCCATGGCGGGCTTGATGGGGGGGAAGCTAGGGGCTGCGCGACGACAATATAGCGGTGCGCTTTTTAACGCCCCACGCGCGACCCAATGCTCTCCCACGAACTGAGAATGCTTTAAGAGTGGTACTGCCCTATCTCCTTCGAGCCAACGCGCATGGGCTCCGAGTTGCTTGGGGTCAGTCCGTAGACAGACCCGAAAACGAAGGCGCGCGGTGGAGGTGGGTCAATGGCTTCATAGGAACCGCGGTTGCGTGTCTTTCGGAGGCAGGTCGGATCCCAGACCAACCAGGCAAATGGATCTATGTAGATGGGGACGTACTCAATCTCCTGCAGTGCGGCCAAGAGAGGCTTTTGACTTCGCCCTAGCATCCGCATATGACAAGGCGGTCTGGAAGAACGCCACTGCACACTATCATGGCAACAGCTGAACATAAGGAGCGGATCTGTACGTCCCTTCCAGGAGACTCAACAAGCTCAGTAACTTTGTGGCCCACGACCACGCAACGGGTCATTGACTTGTTTTTCAGTCGGGGGGCCCTCCAGGCGTTTCGGAACTGAGGCCAGGAAACCTTTCCCAAACGACACTGGCCAAGCTTCCCAGGACCCTGCAGATGATTCCTTTGACGACATGGTTGGCCCATCCATCCTACAATAGGATGCGCAGGCGGCTATTTTGTTGTGCCCGCCTTGCGAATATGAGCCTCTGGTAAGGTCGAACCCTCCATGGACAACGCCTGGGTGCCCAATGTGTGGAACCAACTGTGGCTTTGCCATGGGAGTTCCAAGATCCCAGGGTTGAATGGGAAATTGACCCAAGCGGCCCTGGATGAAGCCACAAACCACCGGAGTTTCTGGCTTAGAGGTCTTCCCACATGCCTTGGATAGATGGACGAATTCCCCAGCGTTCCCCGTCGACATGTGGTCGATGCATTCGAGGGTCTTGGAGGCAAATGTTTGACCACCAACCTGGCGGAGCTGCTCCACAAACACTACGCGGACCAATTCGTGCGGGTGCCCACGTTCCTGCGCGCCCTTCAGTTACAGCAGTCCACGTCCGAACGCGAGATGGCCGAGGCGGGCGCTGGCGGGACGAGGGCTGTTGGGGTGGAGACTCGCAAACGGACCGCCTACTAACTCGCTCTGGTGGAGAGGTACTTGGCCGACAGGAATGCCAAGTCTTTGGTGAACAGCATGGCCCTCTTGTACATGCAGATGGACTGAGGAGTTCTTCCTGCTACTGATCCCCTTCTGCCCTTTTGCCCTTCCCCCAGTCCTCGTCCGCGCGCCTTTGCAGACGACAGAACTCTTGAGCTTCGGGCGTGGTTCTTGGGGGCCAGAGGGCGAGTGCGAATCCCTCAGAACGCATGAATCCATGAACAACTATCGACCATCCACAGGCGCCCACGCGCGCACTCCGTGTGCGCATGCAATAAAAATCAAAACAAATGACTCGCGACGGTCCCGCTTTCCAGGGCCGTGGCCCACGGGCCCAAAGGCCATTTGGACAGCGCCGCAAATGGTAAATCCACGGAGTAAGATTGCAAATCCACATTCCGCGCTGCGCGGAATCCGTTGGCGCAGCCGCCAAACATCAAGAGACCCCGAAATGTAGAAGGCCACGTTGCCGCGTGGATTCGCTCCACCCACTTCTCTTAGGCCATGCTTCTACTGCTCGCTCTTGCCCGGTCCTGCCAGCTCTCTCCCCCTCCTCCGCCCCTGGCCCTCCCTCCCACGCTTCCCGTCTACCTTCTGCCTGCCCCCCCTGCTGCTTCCTGTCTTGTCGCTTCTCATTTATCCGCGTCCCCCCCCTCTCGGGGGCGCGCAAACATGGATTAGCGATCCATGGATTTGGCGCGCGGTCGCCAAATCCATGGATCGGGGGAGGTGCCCTCCCCAAAATGCGGCCTGTGCCGCCTCGTTCGGCGGCTGAAATCCGCGATTTCCAATGGAAATGGGACCCGTCGCTGATCCACGCCCCCTTGACCCATGGTTGCGATCGCCTGACCCTCGCTCTTTCCACGAGCTCTTCGTCCCCCTCCCCTCGTCCGCCCCGTCCGCCTCTCCGCCCCTCTTCCGCCGCGCCAGCAGGGGGCCCGGGAGGGCGCCGCGCCCCTGCGGCCTCCTAGGAACGCTGGGCCCGCTGCGACGGCTCGGACAGGCCGGCGCCGCGGCGGGCCCCCCTCTTCCACTAGACGAGCGCGTTCCACTACCTGCAACGTAGCTGCTCGCAAATGGCCAAGCTCCGCCGAGGAGGACTTACGACCCCTCACAATGAGGCGAGCATGATTGTCTCAGGACGTTTGCGAATAGGCACTTTGCGAGTATTGGCGGTGCGCACAAGGGGGTGGAGGGAGGGGGGAGAGCTTCTTAGAAGGAGGCTGCTTCTTAGAAGGCGCCAGCCTTACATCTACAGATAATGCCCGCGCCTTCCCAAGAAGCAGGGGTGCTTCTGAGAAGCCCTCCCCCCTCCCCCCCACCCCCCTCTGCGCGTGGCTGAGTAGTGGAACGCGCTCGGTGATCCACACGCGCCGACGACGACGAACCTCGGGCCGCGGTGCCGGCGAAATGGGTCCAGGCACGGGCCAACGACGCCGGCCGTGCCTCGCGCTCGGCTCGCCGCGGTCGCGTCTGCCACGGGCGGGGCACGAGGGCAGCGCACCCCCGAGGATCGCCGAGTGGCCGCCTGGAAGTGCGCCCGTGCTTTCCCGTTGCCTCCTCCCCCTCGTACCTCCCTGATAGTTTCTGCATCTCCCTCCTCCTCCTCCTCCTCCTCCTCCTCCTCCTCATCCTGCGCCTCCTCCTCCTCCTCCTCTTCCTCCATGTCCCTCTCCTCTCTGGAGCCAACCCCGACCTTTGCAAGAATCAAGGGCGCGCGCTCTTTTTCTGTGGCAGCGCCAGATGCATAATTCATGATATGTGCGCCGCAAGGGTACAGGTGTAGCGGTCCGAGCGCCAGCCTAAACCTGATGCGCCTTGAGCGCGAGATGGCACAGCGCTCGGGCGGGAGAGGAACGGAATCTGAAGCCAACCAGCGGCGGGTTGGGATCGGGCGGGTTGAGTCGACCACGGCCCCGACCGAGATAGCCCCTCACACCCATTGCGCATCGACACCAACGACCCAGCCCCCCGCGCCTCACCGCTACCTCAACCCAACCCCACCGTTATTGAGGATCGGGCTCGGGCGGGCGGGACGGGCGGGCTGGAACCAATACCCCAGAAGAACCCCAACAACGAACTGTCTAGCAGTTGCAAGCCTGACTGGGGAATCATTCCGACCTTCATTTCTTCTGGCGCCTGAACGCGCTGGCGATTCGAACTGTCACCCTTCGTAGGTTTTCGGAGGTTCGCACGGCCTCCGAGCCTCGAGTAAGACATCGTGCAAGATACAAACCTGCCAGATGTACTATGACGTGGCTTGTGGGACCTGTCCTGCATACCCCCGATCTGACTTCAATGTCCCCCTGGCGTCACAATGTGGTAGCAATCTGCACGGTCACGCTTCGAAGGCTGTTCGCAGGCTGGCCACTCCTCTCAGCCTCGAAGACGGCACCGTGCAAGATACAAACCGGCCAAACTTCGTATCATCTGACTCGTGTGATCCTTTCCTGCCTGCTCCTCCTCCTACGCCTCCTTCTCCTCATCTACGCACTCGCTTGCCTACCCCTGCCTAGCGTCAGGTCGGGCATGTCCTCCTACAGGGGGATTTTGGACGAAAACTAAAACATACCCGACAAATGCTCAAACATAGCAAACAACTGCTCAAAAAGCAGTCCCCCGACTACTTTTTGACTATTTTTGAACAGTCCCCCTGTAGAAGGGGACCGGCCCGACTTAAGCCCAACGCCCTGGCACCTGGGTGACACTGCTTCCCGGCCAACGGGCTTCTGGGCGAGCGGCCTTCCCGGTGAGCGGTCTCCGGGCGAACCGTCTCCCGGCGAGCGGGGGCTTCCGGGCGAACGGTCTCTGGGAAAACGGGCTTCTGGGCGAGCGGGCTTCTGGGCGAGCGGTCTCCGGGCAAGCGTGTTCGTATCGGGATGGGAGACGGATGAGAAGAACGTTGGGGTGGGAGAGAAGGTCTCGTCCTCCTTCGCTTCTCCTCCTTCGCCTCGTTTCCGGCCCCCGAGAGGTCCGCCAAGCAAGCGGGGTCGCCCCCGCGCACTTCGAAGGGATCGTCCATGTCGAACTCGATGCCCTCCTCATCGAAGCCTCGGGCCATAGGGGGGGGGCGTCCGAGCCGCTGCCCAACTAAGGGGGGGGAGGGGGTCCAGAGAGAACAGGGAGCGGAGGGAAGGGGGGAGAAGGCGGGGCAGGGAGGGAGAGGGGAAGGGGTTGGGGCGGGGGAGCGGGGGAGGGGGTGGGGGCATGGGATGGAGGAGGGGGGTGAGAACGAGAGGGGGAGGGAGGGATGGAGGGATGGGGGAAGAGGGCGGGATGGTAGGTGCGCTCGCGCCATATCTGACATCCTGCCCCTCTCACCCATCCCTTCTCATTGCGCCGATGCTTTCTTTATCCTTGCACGCGTGTCGTAGCGGACCTGGAACTCCCAAAACATACCCCTTCAGGTCCTGCGCAGTTTAGAAGAAGAGCTGCGTACACAGGAGGACGCGGATGAGCATGATGATGGGCAGGCGGAAAAGTGGGAGGATGAAGGTGGAGGACGAAGACGTACACCAACATCAGGAACTGTAATGGAAAGACTGAGAGGAGCAAGACCGGGGGAAGGCGGAGCAGGGGAAAAAAACTGGGGCCACAACGACGAGGAATGACTCGGGTCCAGAAAAATGGCCCGCGCTGCGGCGATACCGCCACTCTGAACGACTGGAACAAACCCCGATCCTAAACTGATGCCCACGCTGTAAGGGTATCACGACCTTGGAAGGTCCGAGAACGTTCGAACCGAAACATCACCTAAGGTACACACATTGGCCCTATCCAGCGTGGAAGAACAATACGCGGAGAGGGGCGCGCGATTCTTAGGATGTCGTCGGGGGGTGGGGGGAAGAGAATAGGGTAGTATTCCGATCATATTAGATGCGCTCGCGTCATATCTGACATCCTACCTCTACCCCCCACCCTTCCCATTGTGCCGATGTTTTCTCTATCGGCGGACGCGTGTCGTAGCGGACCTGGGACTCCCAAGCTTACCCCATCATATTCTGCGCAGTAGGAAAGAGGAGCTGAGTACACATGAGGATGTGATGTGGATGAGCATGAGAATGGGCAGTGGGATGACGGAGGAGGACGAGGACGGACGCCAACAGCAAGAACTGGAGGGGAAAGAGCGGGAGGAACAGGATGACCAGGGGACGGCAGAGGAGAGGAGACGAGTGGGGCCACAACGATTTGGACGGACTCAGATCCTGAAATGTGGCCGGCGTTGGGGCGATAGCGCCATTCTGAACGACGGGAGCAACGCCCCGATCCAAAACTGAGGCCCACGCTGCAGTGGGAACACAATTTTTGGCAGGACCGAGAACGTTCGGGTTGGACAGTGGAAAGCGCATGGAGAAAAAAACACAACTCGGACCCATCCAAGTTGCGACAAACAACACGCGGGGGTGCGGGAGCGACTCTCAGGCCGTCTTCTGGGGAGCAAGGAGAGTGGTATTCACATTGAGCATCTGTGGAGGGACGGGTGGAGGTGCGGAGAGGGGAAGGGAGATGGAGAAGGATGATGCGAGTGAGGGCTGGTTAAGAGCAGGGTCTCCGACATCGCACAACACAGCACGGATGATGATGAGGAGGATCGATGGGATGACGTCAGGGAGTATAATGAGCAGGATGTGGCAACATCGTACCCAAGCGGGAGGAGGATGAAGAGGATCATGGGGATGAACTTAGGGATGGTAACACTATACATAATCGCCAGGATGATGAAGGGAAGTACGCAGGAGGGCCGAGGGCGACCGATTTCAAGAAGAAGAGCGGAGGGCGAAAGTGGATGATGAGGAACGATACTCCGTCGACGAAGGAGGGGGAGGACGTGAGGGATCATGGGGTGGGGGAGGACAGCAAGGAAGGGAATGCGAAGGAAGAGGATTACTAGAATCGGGGGGGGGGAAGAGGAGGAAACAGGGTGACACGAGGGGGGTGAGGAGATGGGGAGGAGGAGGACCAATGTAAACCCAAGACTCATCAACGATATTGCAATAAACCCTCCCCCCAATTCCCTCTTCATAGGCCTCTACACGGATTCATTTTCACTGCGGGAAGTGTCCCGTTAGAAGACAAACCAACGTTTGAAAATTCTGCCAGAACACCATTCCTGGGATATCAACGCCGCCAATCACCATTACTGTTGCGTCTTGGCGATCCAGGATTGTGCCAGAACGCCGTTCCTGGGACTTCGACACCGCGAATCAACGTGACTGTTGTTGCACCCTGACATTCCGACATCGTGACGAAAAAAAACCATTTCTGGGACGTTCACCATGAGAATTTCTGAAACTGCTGCAAACTCTTAAGACGAATGTGCGTGGCACTAACTCGAGAACCACATTTTGAAAAGGAGCCGCCCTATATCCGTGGAGCTCTTGCAACATTTCAAGCTTCAGGAGCATACATTGTGCGGACATCTGTAGCGAAACGCCTGGCCCGCCCTCTCGGCTGGCCTCGGGGCGCGACAGGGAGGAGTTATCTATGAGGAGAAGGATGGAAGAAAAAACGAGGAGGAAGAGTACGACCAAGGAGAAGGATGCGGAGGAGGAAGAGGAGGAAGAGGAGGAGGAGGAGGAGGAGGAGGAGGAGGAGGAGGAGGAGGAGGAGGAGGAAGGGGGTGTGGAGAGAGCGAAGAGCGCGAGGCCCTCGGAAGATCAGGACCCCGCGGCAGAGCCGCCAAGGACAGCAAAAGGCGGCGGCGGACCCGGGCACTGGGCGGCTCCACCGTTTCCGCAGACCTGCCCCGGGGCCGGTGACTCCTCTCGGGGGGACGCAGAGGTGGGGTAGGGGCAGAGGCGTTGAGCAGGGACCGACCGTCCTGGCATTCATATAGGCCTACCACGAGATGTTCTTAGAACCCAGAAATGTTCCAAGAACAAAAACAATGTTCTTATAACCAAAACCCGATGTGTTAAAACAAGACAATATCGGCCAGACATGTTCTAAGAACATTCCGTGGAAACCGCAAAAGGTTCTTAGAACATTCTTTGGTGGGACTATAAGCGAGCCAAGACGCTTCGCCACTACTCGAAGGCGGGGTCGTGAAACAATCGCATTCCACGTCTCCTGGAAGAAGGACGCATGAGCATCCGGCCTGGTTCGTTCTCTAGGACCCCACCTTCGGGATAGCCCCCCCCCCCCCTCTGCGAACCCCCGATCCTCTTCCGACGGCAGCCACGGCCCGAAACCGGCGCTTGGAGAGGATTGCGCGGACGAGCTCCCGTCGCCGTCGTCATCGCCGCCGCCCTCGGCGGCCTCTGGCGGGCCCCTGGCGGCCTCGGGCAGGTCCTCGGCGGCCTCCTGGAAGCCCCCCAACGGACCTCGCTCGGAGGCCGCCGGGCTCCGAGCTGGATGTCTGGAGCCGGAGAATCTCGAGGGGAATCCTGGAGTGGCGACGCCAATGACCCTCCAACAGCCCGCAACCTCGATCGTGCGATTCTCGATCCTCCCTCGCCTCCTCCTCCGCCCCCAGACGGGCCAACGGGGTCCCGAGAGGCCTCCTTGACAGTCCAAGATGGCTTCGAGTCGTCGAAAGACCGCTCGCTCTCAGACGCCCAAGATGGCCTCCAGACGATTTAAGAGGTCTCCAAGACGCTCCAAGAGAGCCCCACGAGCACGTCCAAAAGGGCGCCGAGAGGCGAAGGTCATCGATATTCCAACAAGTTATTGCACGATTTTCGTGTTCTCGCCTTTTCGGTCTCCCAGCGCTCCAAAACGTCCCACGAGGCCCCCAATACCGCACCAAGAGGGCCCCACGACGGCCCTAAGAGGGGGAGCACGGACTGACTTTTCGCGCCCTACGCGCCCCAAGAGGGCTCCTGAGACCGCCAGCAGGCCCTCAAGAGGGCCAACAGAGGCACCCAGGAGGCATCAAAACTGCGTCCAAGGCTCTCGAAAGGCCTCCCAAGAAACCCCAACAGGCAGCCCTGAGGACACTGACCCACAAGCCAGAGCACGGTGGCGGGTTGGGCCACAGGCGAGGGTTTTTGCCGGCCAACCGAAAGGCCGCGCAAGCCGCCGAAAATTCGAACTCCGTTGGCCCAATCGCCTCCAAGACGGCCAAGATGGCCCCGAGATGTCTCCCAAACGGCCCCAGATGCACACAAAACGGCCTCAGATGGCCTCAAGATGGCCCCAGACGGCTCTGGAGGCCTCCACGAGACCTCCAAGACGGCCCAAGAGGCCTTCAAGAGAACGGACAGGACGACCCGAAGTGGCCCAGATCAATGATTTCCAAAGGCTTTTGACAGACTGTGGCATTTGATTCTCTTCGGCAAGGCTGAACCTAAACGGTGTTTTTCGTTTTCGTTTTGTTTTCGTTTTACCTCGCTTTTGTCTTCAATTCGCCTCTACAGCAAAACGAAATCGAAACTTTTCGGCCCACGGAATCGCCCAAAACACCGTTTAGGTCCAGCCCTCCTTTTCGGCGTCGACGGCCAAAGACTGCCCAAGAGGCCCCCAGGACGGCCAGGCTCCCAGGACGGCCCCCAAAGCGCCTCCAAGACGCCCCATCTGGCCTCCAAGACGGCCAAGATGCGCCCAAGACGGCCCAGAGAGGCTGCCAAGACGGCTTCCGACGGGCCAGGAACGCCGTGAGACGGCTAAACAGGCCCCCAAGAAGCCCCCCAAGAGGCCCAAGGAGGCCCCCAAGAGGCCTCCAAGAGGCCCCCAGGAGGCCCCAAGAATTACGCAAGAAACTCCCAAGAGGTCTCCTCATCCTTATCTTTCCTCCCTCTTCTCATCCTCCTCTTCCTCCCCCACGTGTTCCTCGAAGGGCTTCCACAACAGCTGGGGGAACGTCAGGTCCAAAAGCATGGGCAAACTTTGCCCAAATGTTTGGCCGCATAGGCGTACCCTGAAAGTCAGGGGGCGGCGGGACTTTCACCGTGGGCGTCTTCGATCCGCCGCACCCTGTGGTTGCCACAATGTTGCACGGCGTGCTGGATGTTCAATCGGTTTGGCTCTTTCTCAAAAATTCCTCAGGGCTTTCGGCCCAACCCGCCGGCCACCCAAAGAGCTCCGCCTGACCCGGTCGGCAAGGACTCTTC